TTCGAAACAAGCGACCAAACAAGTTATGAAAAATCAAATGTGATATTTTCCACTACGCTTAAAACTCAAAACAAGATGTTTTTAAAACAAATACTTTTGATTCTTAAAATTTCCTAAAATATATTGAAAGTATTCAAATGAAAGTGAAAAAATGGTGAAAATAATACTCATATTTCCCAATGACCCAAATTATCGTTACAAAATGATATGAAACAAAAACCATATGAGACAATTAAGATTCAGGAGTAGACAAGCGTAAAATTTTTATTTCACGCTTAATACACATACACCACAATCATTTCTTTGCATAAGAGAGAAAAAGTGACTTACCAAATCAAATATTTGTAAACCTTGACCTAGACCGTCAAATTTGGGGTTTAAAATCACAATTATTAAACACTTTCCCGGGAAGGAAATGTGAAAATTTGACATTTATACAGTCTCAAGAGTGTTTACAAGTCGTCATTATCATATTTTTGTTTACAGTTCATCAGATTTAACATTTGACTGATGCTTTGTGCGTAAATAACCTTGATAGAGATCTTGAAATTTCAAATTTATTGTTTGCTAAATTATTTTTAGAAATTTGAGGAGATTACAAATGAAAATTTAAACAAATTTTGTTGTATTTCCGAATTTTGTAACGTGAAATTTAAAATTTCTATTTGAATAAAATTTGAATATAAATCCAAGTCACAATTTTTTATGTTGTCCATCAGGTTTTTCCAGCAATTCCTTCAAAACACAAAAAAACGTTGTTAAAAAATGTGCTCCTAAGAGTTTTTTTGCAATATCCTGTTAATGGTCTCATCAAGAAATCCTCATTTAATTAATTTCAGGTTCTCATATTGTTTGAGAAAATTTTCGATTGTTTTGTAAGACTTGAGGATCACTTGTATTTATTTTTCTATTTTCACACACTCTTAAGACAAAATTGAATTTATAATTATGAAAAAAAGATCAATTGTTAGTAAATCATCTTTAGTTAAAGAGTTTGTAGTAAAAAAAATAAAATAAAATAGTCAAGGTCTTATTTAAAAAAATTTTGTTTTCTAGGATTTTAATAACCTCGAGTTAATAAAAATTTGGGTTAAAATTAAAATTAAAATTAAAATTACAACATTGTGAAATTCTAAAACCCTAATTCTAATAAGATTCTTTAATTTTTGTGGTTATGAGATTGGTGAGAACTCAGAATTCCATTACACAATTTTTAAGAACCTTGAGTTTCAAAAAATTGAGGTTTTGAAATTTATAATTGCAATGTTTCGGCGTTTAATGCCACAGCATTCTAAATAAAATTTATCATTCTACGATTCCAAAAATTTAAGTCTTTAAAGTCTAAGTTTTTTATACAGGGTGATTTTTAAAAAACGGCAGGCGCTGTAAAATTTCAAAAATTAAAAAAATATATTAAATGGATTTTGATTTAGTATAAGCTGACAATTTTGGAATTTTTCTAAATGTCTTAGGGTATATTCAATTTTCCAATTTTAAAATCTGAAATTTTAAGTTTCTACTAATAAGTGTTTAAAATATCAAAACACCAAATTTTCAGAGTTTTTACGATAAAAAGTTTTATTTAAACAGTTTGTTTCGACTGAAGAAAACATAAATTACAGTGTTTTTTATTTAGAAAATGTATCAAAAATTTCTTGCAGCTTTTTCAGAGTTGTTGAATTACAATATTCTAAGTCTTCTGAAAATTTGCTAAAAACTGTTTTGATAAAATCTGGAACAAAGCCATCGAGCGTATCCAAGGCACTCCTCGATTCGATACATTTATTGTTTGTTACAATTACTCCAAATTAGCAATCCTCTCTAAAAATCAACCTTTTACTCTCAACCGCAGACCTCTCACTAAAATCGTGAGTAATTAATCGGAATTTTTCGGTTGCATCACTCCTCGTCCTCGTTCAAAATTTGTAAAAATCTTTGATTTTTACAGACATGAGTGGAAAAAAAGAAAAGTCGGTCCTCCTTGAACATCACCGTTTATCTTTCGTGTCTTGAAAAATTTCAATAATCCTTGATCCACCCAGTTCATCGTTCCCGAGTTTAATTACCTTTTTGAACTTTAACTAATCTACTCATTAAAAGTAGTTTTTTTTTTGTAAATCCGCCGTTAGGTACATCACAGTCATTAAACAGTTTGGGTTTAAATATTTTTTTGTTCGAAAATCGTAAATTTGACGAATTCTCAGCGGTTGGCATTTAGATAATGTCGAAATTCGATATCGCTTCAAATCCGAACAAAGAAAAAATTCGGGTCGTGTGTGTCGAACACATACGTTTCTAAATTAATATTTATAAGAGAGACTGCCGAAATTTGAAGTAATTACTGATTAGAATCGTCGTTGCAAAAGACGGACGAACATCCGTTTTCGAGTAGCCTCGGATCTGATGACTGGAAGTCGCGATTCTTTCATTAAAAAATTTTTAATTACGCGAATGTGTACTCATTAAATCGCAAGCGTGCGTTTTGTAATCCTTAATGTTATGTGACGTAAGGATTTCGAGTTTTTGCCATGGCCTGGCCTTTGGAGGATTTGTGGGCGGAATCGCGATTTCAGCGGAGAGTAGGCAACCAATTATACACCAAACGTTTTTCAATGATTTAAGAACAATTTTGAAGAAAAATAAAAAGCTATTTTAAATTTTATAGTACTGAAAAGTATCAAAAGGCAACATAAATTGAATTTTGGCTACCCAAAAAATTAACTGGACACCTCTGGTCAAAAATTCGCATTTTTCTCCGAAACTACAGCTCATAGCCCAATTTTGTTTTAAAATTTGAACGTCTCAATATTTTTTTTTTCATAAATCAGCCATTTTGACTTTTTGCAGCAATATTAACAATAGAAGCGATTTTTACCACCAAAAAAATCACTATCAAAACAGTAAAAAGCCAATATAGCCTACAAAAACATACGCGTTTTGATTTTGTCTGGTTTTTAAAAAAATTATTTTGTTTTTTGATTTACGTTGAATTTTATGAAACATAAAAGTACCAAAGTTTATTTTGTGGCGTCCTAAACGTTAAAAAGATTGGTGGACTGGACACTCCTGAACCAAAATTTTCATTTTTCTCCGAAACTATTGGTCGTATTCCAAATTTTTCTGAAAATTTGAACGTCTCAAATCGTTTTTTAAGCAAATTTTTCGAAAAAACTAAGCATTAGAAGCTGTTTTATACCACCAAAATGAAATCACTATCAAAATTAAAAGCCAAAATTCAAAGACAATAGCCCACAAAGGCTTTTTATACGATTTTTAAAATTACTTCGTTGTTTTTTATGTTGAATTTTATAGAACACAAAATCACCAAAATTTATTTTGTGGCGTCATAATACGTTGAAAAGTTTGGTGGACTGGACACCCCTGAACCAAAATTTTCATTTTTCTCCGAAACTACTGATCATATCCCAATTTTGTTTTAATATTTGGACGTCTCAAAATTTTTTTTTCATAAATCAGCCATTTAGACAACTTTTTGCAGCACATTTCTTGAGATATTGTCACTTTTAATACGCTTTTTAAATTGTTTAGTTTAAAAAATAATATATATATTTTTATTTATGTTGAATTTTATCAAACATAAAAGTACCAAAGATTATTTTGTGGCGTTCTAATACGTTAAAAAGTTTGGTGGACGGGACACCCCTGAACCAAAATTTTTATTTTTCTCCGAAACTATTGGTCGTATCCCAATTTTTTCTGAAGATTTGGACGTCTCAAATCGTTTTTTAATTAGAAATTTTAATTAGAAACTGTTTTTTACCACCAAAATGAAATCACTATCAAAATTAAAAAGCCAAAATTCAAAGACAATAGCTATAGTTCTGCCCACAACGGTTTTTATTACGATTTTTAAAATTACTTCGTTGCTTTTCATGTTGAATTTTATAGAACACAAAATCACCAAAATTTATTATGTGGCGTCCTAATACGTTGAAAAGTTTGGTGGACTGGACACCCCTGAACGAAAATTCGCATTTTTCTCCGAAACTACTGATCATATCCCAATTTTGTTTTAAGATTTGGACGTCTAAAATTTTTTTTTTCATAAATCAGACAACTTTTTGCAGCACATTTCTTAAAAATATCAATATTAAGAGCCCACAAAAACTTTAGATATTGTCACTTTTAATTCGCGTTTTGAAATTGTTTGGTTTAAAAAAAAAATTAGTTTTTTTTATTTATGTTGAATTTTATGAAACATAAAAGTACCAAAGTTTATTTTGTGGCGTCCTAAAAGTTAAAAAGTTTGGTGGACTGGACACCCCTGAACCAAAATTCGCATTTTTCTCCGAATCTACTTACTGATCATATCCCAATTTTGTTTAAAGATTTGGACGTCTCAAATTTTTTTTTTCATAAATCAGCCATTTAGACAAGTTTTGCAGCACATTTCTTGAAAATATCAACATTTGAAGCGTTTTTTACCACCAAAAAAATCACTATGAAAAAACCAAAGTAAAAACCAAACGTCAAAGACATCCTATAGCCCACAAAAACTTTAGATATTGTTACTTTTAGTACGCGTTTTGAAATGGTTTGGTTTTTAAAAAACTAATTTTGTTTTTTATTTATGCTGAATTTTATGAAACATAAAAATTACAAAGTTTATTTTGTGGCGTCCTAATACCTTAAAAAGTTTGGTGGACTGGACACCCCTAAATTAAATTTTTAATTTTTCTCCAAAACTATTGGTCGTATCCCAAATTTTTCTAAAGATTTGGACGTCTCAAACCGTTTTTTAATTAGAAATTTTAATTAGAAACCGTTTTTAACTACCAAAATGAAATCACTATCAAAACTAAAATGCCAAAATTCAAAGACAATAGCTATAGTTCTGCCCACAAAGGTTTGTATTACGATTTTTAAAATTACTTCATTGTTTTTTCATGTTGAATTTTATAGAACACAAAATCACCAAAATTTATTTTAAGGCGTCTTAATACGTTGAAAAGTTTGGTGGAGTGAACACCTCTGAACCAAAATTTTAATTTTTCTCCGAAACTATTGATCGTATCGCAAATTTTTTTGCAAATTTGGTCGTCTTACATTTCCATAAAACAACCCGTTTTTGCTTTTTTGTATCAATTTTTCGAAAAAAGCGCACAAAACCGAGTTTCCACAGCAACGATTCAAATAATTAAGACAAGATTGTTATCTTTTTATGTTTTTATTATTCGCGCATCAAGGCTAACCCGATTTACTCGTATTGGAGAAAGGTGTTGTAAGACACGAATCGAGTAGTCGTGGTGTTGTCCAAACAAATGCCTACCGCTTCCTTGACCCTGAAATGCGCAAACGGGCACTAATTGCCGGAATGTTACTCGCGACTGTCATTTTTTTCGCCATTATCGGACTCGGGGTGAAATCAAGTGACAGTGAGAGTGTCAAAAATCTCCAATTGTTACATGTGGTAACGTGATGATAAGTAACATAAGGATTATTTCAGGTCACGTGACTTTTAGATAATCAGACATGGGGCAAGGACACCGGCCGATACATATCCTAACGATCCTTACATCAACGAGACTTTTTATCCAGTCGGCTGGGGACAATTGACAAATGTGAGTAATGCGGACTGGAGACTAAACACTTGACTGGTTTTGGGTTCCAGAAAGGGAAATTAGATCTTTACAATGTGGGGAAATTCCTCCGGCGACGCTATGATAAGTTTTTGGGGGCTCATTACACCCCTGATATTTTTTATACGCAATCTACGGACGTGGACCGGACTAAGGCCAGCATGCAGATGATTAATGCGGGCCTTTGGCCGCCTGAAATTGAGCAAAAGTGGGGGCCTCTGGACTGGCAGCCCGTCCCTGTACACGCCGAGCCCCTCGCACAAGACAGTGTAAGCAACCTAAGAAAAAAAAATGAAAAATTAAATTTCCTCTAGCTACTACTAGTGAGACGACCTTGCGCCAACTATCACCTTGAACTTGACCACGTGTTGCAACTCCCACCAATCAAGAAAAAATTCCAAGAAAATGAAAAACTTTTCCAAGAATTGAGCGACAAAACCGGAAAAACTGTCAAAAATTTTGACGACGTCCAGGATATCTATAGTACACTCAAAGCGGAAGTAATTCATTTGTTTTTGTGTATTTTGTTTGTTTATCCGTAATTGTAGGAGGGTTTCAATTTGACGCTCCCTGATTGGACGAAAAACTACTACCCCCATCGTATGACTCCGCCCACTATCTTCAGTTACGTATTGAACGCCTATAGTGACAAGCTTAAACGCCTCAAAGGCGGAGTTTTGCTCAAAAAGCTCATCTCGGATTGGTCGAGTAAAGCGGAGGGGAAGTTAAGCCCCGCCCAGCGCAAAGCCTACTTATACGGCGGACACGACTCGACTATTACTAATCTTTTGAGTGCCTTGGGTGTCTGGGATCCCCAAATCCCCGATTATGGGATTATGGTCCTCCTGGAATTATCACAGGACCGGATTACGCGCAATTTCGGCGTGGAAATTTTCCTCCGGAATTCAACCGGGGAACCCCACAAATTACAAATTCCCGGTTGTGGGGAGTTTTGCCCTTTGGACAAACTAATCGAATTGAGATCTGAAGTGATTCCTGAGAATTGGGATGAGGAGTGTAAAAGTGACGACCCCGATTACATCCCCCCGCCGCCAAGGGGCCCCTAAATTAAATAAATTTCACTTGGATGGTTTTTAATAAAAAAAATCGCGAATTAAATTACTTTATTAAAAAAGAATAAGTTATATCACAAATTAACAATTAGTCGGGGCTAGTGTTGGTAGTTGTGGCGTGAACAAAATATGCGACCTTGATTTTACGAAATAGACGAAAAGCAACGAAAAAATAAATACTATAGATCCAATTGCTATGGTCATATTTTCGTGAGCAGCGGACGGTTTAAGGAAAATTCGTAATTTAATGTCGCCCCAAGTCGATTCAGTCCAAGTACTGTACTCTCCCGAAGACCAATCATAATCTAAAATTTTGAAAAATTAAATTGAATTAATGAAAAACAACAAGACTCACCATCGATTATAAACGCGGGGCTTACAGCTTCAGTGAAATTCATCGTAATGCGATAGCACAGGGTCGTATTGAGATCATCGAGACTCTGAGACATGTTGTAATAACGCAAAGCCTGAAAAATATCAATTCTAAAATAAAGCCAGTACCGCCCTGTGTTGAAAATTCAATATCACAGGGTGAAAAACCAAATTATTTATTTTTTGAAAAAACTAATTGATGAATGGGAAAATAATATGAAAATGTGACATTTTATCAAGAATAACATTTTTTTAAATTTCTTTTCCTTTTAAGTTCAGCAAAATTATTATTTTTTTTTAAACGTTTTTTAACAAAAGCTATGATCTAAGAAATAATTTTCATCAAAAAAAATTTCATACTAGTTGTCATTTTGATAAAAACATCACAAGCACTTTAATTTTTATTAATTATTATGTTCGGTAAGCCAATGATTTAAAAAAAAACCGCTGGGTTCCAGACCTTTTATTCACCCCTATATGTTTCACTTGATGGCATTTTATTTATTTATCTATTTTTAGGTTTGTTTAATTTTTATGTTTTCACATTTTTTTGTTTTTTAAATCGGTATTTTTTTCTCTACTTTTCTTGTTTCATCTTGAGTTTCTTCTAGATTTACACATTTTTTTCAAAAATGTTCTTTTTTTTCTAAGACTTACATAATTCCTGGGCTAGTACGGCCCTGTGTTCAAAATTGAATATCACAAGGTAAGAAACCAAACCATTTATTTTTTTGAAAAAACTAATTGATGAATGAGAAAATAATATGAAAATGTAATATTTTATCAAGAATAACATTTTTTTAAATTTCTTTTCCTTTTAAGTACAGCAATTTTTTTTTTTAAATGACAACCCACTGCAAAAGTTTTTATTTCAAAAGTTATGATCTAAGGAGTAATTTTCATACTAGTTGCCATTTTGACAAAAAACTCACAAATCTTATAGCAATTTAATTTTTATTAATTATGTTCGGGAAGCAAATATTAAAAAAAAAAATATTGGGTTTCAGACCTTTTATTCACCCTATATGTTTCACTTGATGGCATTTTATTTGTTTATCTATTTTTAGGTTTGTTTAATTTTTGTGTTTTAACATTTTTTGTTTTTTAAATCGGCATTTTACTCTCAACTTTTCTTGTTTCATCTTGAGTTTCTTTACATTTAAACATTTTTTTCAAAAAATTTTCTTTTTTCCTAAGACTTACATAATTTCTGGGGTAGTACGACCCAATTTTATATTCCTTTTGAGTTCTGCAAAATTAATATATTTTTTTAAATGGCAACCCACTATAAAAGTTTTTTTAACAAAAGCTATGATCTAAGGAGTAATTTTCATACTAGTTGCCATTTTGACTAAAAAATCACAAATCGTATAACACTATTTTTAGGTTTGTTTAATTTTTATGTTTTGACATTTTTTGTTTTTTAAATCGGCATTTTTTTCTCCACTTTTCTTGTTTCACCTTGAGTTTTTACTACATTTTAAAATTTTTTTTAAAATTTTTTCTTTTTTTTCTAAGACTAACATAATTTCTGGGCTAGTACGGCCCTGTGTTCAAAATTCGATATTGCGGGAAAAAGTTCGATACAGGGTGAAAAACCAAACTATTTATTGTTTTTTAAACTAAATGATCAATGAGAAAGTACTACATTTTATCAAGAATACAATTTTTCGAAATTTTATATTCGTTTTGAGTTCTGCAAAAATTAATATTTTATTTTAAATTAATTTTAATTAAAATTAATAACAAAAGCTATGATCTAAGAAGTAATTTTCATACTAGTTG